CACTTACTGATGAAGATCAAAGACTACAGCCTTCAGTATGGATTACACCTCAACATAAAGACAACAAAAATCCACACAACTGGACCAATAAGCAACATCATGATAAACAAGGAAAAGACTGAAGTTGCCAAGGATTTCATTTTACTTGGATCCACAATCAACGCCCAGGGAAGTGTTGTTGTTAGGTGCCTTCGAGTTGGTTCCGACTCATAGCCACCAGGGAAGTAGCAGTCAAGAAATCAGACAATGTATTGCATTGGGCAGGTGTGCTGCAAGAGACCTCTTTAAAGTGTTAAAAAGCAAAGATGTCACTTTGAGGACAAGGGTGCCTGACCTAAGCCATGGTATTTTCAATCACCCCACATGCACGCAAGGAAACCCTGGTGGCATAGTGGTTAAGGGCTACGGCTAACCAAAGGGTGGGCAGTTCGAATCCACCATGCACTCCTTGGAAACCATATGGGGCAGTTCTACTGTCCTGTAGGGTCACTATAAATCAGAACCTACTCAACAGCAACAGGTTTGTTTTTGGTTCATATGCATGAGAAAGCTGGACAATGAACAAGGAAGACCGAAGAACTGACACATTTGAATTATGGTGTTGGCAAAGAATACTGAATACACTACAGACTGCCAAAAGAACCAACAAATCTGTCTTGGAAGAAGTACAGCCAGAATTCTCATCAGAAGCAAGGACGTCAAGACTTCGCCCACTGCACTCTGGATGTGCTATCAGGAGGGACCAGTCCCTGGGGAAGGGCATCATGCCTGATTAAGTAGAGGGTCAGACCCTCAACGAGATGGATTAAAATACTGGATGCAACAAAAGGCTCAAACATAGCAACAATTGTAAGGATGGTGCACGACCGGGCAGTGTTTCATTCTGTTGTACACAGGGTCACTATGAGTCGGAACCAACTTGAAGGCACCTAATGACAACAACAAATACCATATACATGGACTGGGAGACTAAATACTGTTAAAATGTTCGTTTCTTCCCAAATTGATCTATAGATTCAATGAAATTCCAAACAAAATCCCAGAAAGAGGTTTTCTGTAGAGACTGACAAACTGACTTTTAAAATTTATATGGATAGGTAAAGGAACAAGAGTAGCCAAAACAGTATTTAAAAAGAACAAAGGTGGAGTGCTCTCACTACCCGATTTCAAAGCAATTTAGAAATACATGCAATCCCAATCCAAACAACAACAGCATACTTTAATGAGACAGAAAAACTAATCATTAACTTTACATGGACAGGAAAGAGGTCCCAGATAAGTACTACTGAGAAGAAGAATAAAGTGGGAGGACTCGCACTACCTGACCTCAGAAACTACCATACAGCTACAGTACTCAAAGCAGCCTGGTACTGCTACAACGACAGATACACTGACCAATGGAACAGAACCGAGAACCCAGATGTAAATCCATCCACCTACGGTCACTTGATCTTTGACAAAGGCTCAAAGTCCATCAAATGGGGAAAAGACAGTCTTTTTAACAAATGGTGCTGGCAAAACTGGATGTCCATCTGCAAAATAAAGAAACAGGACCCACACCATATACAAAAACGAATTCAAAATGAATCAGAGACCTAATTATAAAACCAAAGACTACAAAAATCATAGAAGAAAAAATAGGGTCAATGCTAGAGGTCCTAAAACATGGCATTAACAGGATAAAACCATAACTAACAATACACAAACACCAGAAGATAAGCTAGATAACTGTGATCTTCTAAAAAATTAAACACTTATGCTCATAAAAAGACTTCACCAAAAGAGTAAAAAGAGAACCAACAGACTGGGAAAAAAAGTTTGGCTATGACAAATCCGACAAAGGTCTGATTCTCTAAAATCTACAGGAAAATCCAACACTTCTACAACAAAAAGACATCTAAGATACTCCACTGGTCCCACCCCGTCTGGAGCTAGGGAGAAGGAAGAAAACCAAAGACACAAGGGAAAGATTAGTCCAAAGGACTAGTGAATCACAACTACCACAGCCTCCACCAGACTGAGTCCAGCATGACTAGATGGTGCCTGGCTACCACCATCTACTGCTCTGACAGGGATCACAATAGAGGGTACCGGAGAGAGCTGGAGATAAATGTAGAACAAAATTCTAACTCACAAAAAAAAAAGACCAGACTTACTGGTCTGACAGAGACTGGAGAAACTCCAAGAGTATCGTCCCAGACACCCTTTTAACTCAAGAGTGAAGTCACTCCTGAGATTCACCATTCAGCCAAAGATTAGACAGGCCCATAAAACAAAGCAAGACTAAATGGGCACACCAACCCAGGGGGAGGGACAAGAAGGCAAGAGGGGACAGGAAGGCTGATAATGGGGAACTCAAGGTCGAGAAGGGGAGAATATTGGCACATTGTGGGGTTGGCAACCGATGTTACAAAACAATGTCTGTATTAATAGTTTAATGAGAAACTAATTTGCTCTGTAAACATTCATTTACAGCACAATAAAAAAATCAAAGTTACAATAATCAAAACACTGTGGAACAGAATAGAGGATCCAGAACCAAACTTACACAAATATGGCCAACTGATTTTTAACAAAGGTTCAAAGGCAATTCAATGGAAAAAGGATGGTCTCTTCAACAAATGGTGCTAGAACTGCTGAACATCCATATGTGAAAAAAATGAACCTCAATCTGCAACTCATACCTTATGCAAAAATTAACTGAAAATGAATCATAAATCTAACTGTAAAATGTAAAACTTAAACTTTTTGGAGGAAGCATAGGCAAATATCTTTGTGATGCTGGGTTAAACAGAGTTCTTAGCTATGAAACTAAAAACAAAATCCATAACAAGAAAAAAGGGTAAGACAAACTTCATCAAAGTTAAAAATTCTTGCTTTGCAAAACAGCAATATTAAGAGAATGAAAAGCTAAGCCACAAAATGAGAAAAGATATTTCCAACACACATATCTGATAAAGGAGTTGTATACAGAATACACAAAGAACTCTAAAACTTAATAGTAAGGAAACAAACCCAGTTTCTAAAAATGGGCAAAGACTTGAACAAATACATTACCAAAGAAGATATAGTGATGGTAAATAAACACGTGAAAAGACAGTCAACCCGTAGAGCTGATTCCGACTCACGGTGACTGCATTCGTTACAGAGTAGAACTGCTCCACAGATAGGATTTTCTTGGCTGTAATCTTACTAGCCAAAAGGGTAGCGGTTCAAACCCACCCAGAGATGCCTCGGAAGACAGGTCTGGCAATCAGCTTCTGAAAGATCACAACCTGGAAAACCCTATGAGCACAGTTCTACTCGTGGGGTCGCAATGAGTCCGAATTGACTCAACAGCAACTAACAACAATCTTGACAGAAGAAGACTGCCAGTCATTAGAGAAATGCAAATTTACAATGAGAAACCACTAGATACAACATGGGACCTAAGGAACAGAAAATCCAACACAGAAGGGAGACAAAGGGAACTCCCAGAGCGATTATGACAATGGAAGATCTAAGGTTTAAAGGGGCAACAGGCATAGCAGGCAACCAAGTCAATCTGGAGAAGATCAGATGAAAGTGAAAAATTACCTGATGAATCTGAATATCATGAGAGATGATTCGGACAATCCTTTGAGCATTTAGAATAAGCAAATTAGTAGTAAGTAGCCAACTAAGCAACAACAAAACTCTAGAGAAACCAAATTGTGAAGGAAAAGTAATCACAATATATCATATGGTTTGACTGTAAATGGTGTTCACAAAGTCATTACAAAAAAACAAAACACTGAATACTGACCTAACCAAAACTAAGACACTGGTATCATGGCAGGCTGGGGAGTTTGAGGCTGAAGGTAGGAGGGTGTGGGTGCTGCGAGTGAGGGAAATGAAGTACCAGTATCAGCTGATTCCAAGTTATAGTGAACCCATGTGTTTCAGAGTACAACTATGCTCCACAGGGTTTTCAATGACCTCTCTAAAGTAGGTCGGCAGGCCTTTCTTCCAAGGAATTTCCGGGTAGATGCGCTCCAGGCTCTAATCTTTTGGTTAGCAGCCCAGTACGTTATTTGCACTGCCCAGGGACTCCGAGGGTATGAGGTCAGTGGGGGTTTTAAAAAGAGCTAAAACTCTATCTTCCATGGGGGGAAGTCAACAGACAATACCTGTTAAAACCCACTACCATCAAGTCGATTCCAACTCACAGCAACCCTACGGGACAGAGTAAACTGCCCCACAGAGTTTCCAAGGAGCTGCTGGTGGATTTGAACTGCCCACCTTTTGTTAAGTTAGCAGCCGAGCTCTTAACCACTTTGAAACAAACATTAGGAATACTAAATTTAAAAAGTGAAAAAAAGCACTTCCCTGTGGAGACTGTACAGGAATGCGAAGGGGTGTGTGTGTGAAGCGCTGGTTTCCAAAACAAGCCTTTTAGAAACATTTCACTATTGATTAAAATGAAAACTAGTATTAAATAGTTCACTCTGGTTATTACCGTAAGAACAGACTGTTGGTAGACAAGAGCAAATCAGGGAAACCAGTTAGAAGCAACCGGCTAATCCTAGGGAAGAATAATAGTAGTTCAAAATTAAACGATTCTGGTGAGGAAGTGGTTAGAAACTAATTTTCCACATAGACAACGCTTATTGATGGATTGTCCCGAAAGAGACAGAATGACTCCTAGGTTTCTCAACCTGAGCGACTGTACAAGAAGAAGAGTTTTGATGCGATAGGTACATTTGGGAAAGGTGCAGCACAGGGAAAGGCAAAGGCTTAGACGGCAAGATTTATTTTGGCCACGATCGATTTGAGATGCCTGAAGTCCAAATAAAGTCCTGAGAAGAAAATCAAAAACAAACAAACAAAAAAAAAACCCGTTGTCGTCGACTCAATTAATTGCAGAGGCAAAACGCAACTCATCGTGTGAACTTTCTACCAACCAGATCACTTCTAAGGAAAGGCCTGCCCGCCCAGGAAGTCCAAGGGTTTGCAAACCTCACTAATCTACCCTGGGGGTGGTACTAATTAGCAGTTCCCTCAGGCCAGAAGCTCTGAAGAGAACTTCCAACGCTTGGGTTGCCTTTCAGAAGCGTGCAGAAACAGCGATGTTGTTCCCTAGAGGCTGGGCCGTGGTCACGTGCCGGCTCCCGCGCTTCAGTCGAAGCCAGGCCCGGGAAGCTGCTCCGTGAATGTGTTCGCGCGCACGTTCCCAGAGTGAAGGGCTGAGAATGGCCAGCGAGGGTGTACGCGAGGCCTGAAGGGTGGGAACGCTCGAGGACTGAGACTACCCCCGCCCCCAGGCCCCCCGAGATTGGTGCACGCGGGGACCTAGCGCGCCTCACGTGAGGGGCGGGGCAATTCGTCGCTCGCCTCAGGAGGAATCGCTCACCTGACGGCACGTAGTCCTCGTCTTCCTCCGAGGTGGAAAAGTCTTCGGAGTCGAATTCTTCCATGTCACTGCCACGCGCAGCAGGCCAACCCGCAGGACCACAGTGAATACCCTCAATGGCAAAGCTCTAGGGAGAGACCATAGAGCGGCAGCGGCGGCAGCCAGGGTGGGTTCGGCAGCGTTTGCGCACGCGCAGAATACCACATGGTTGAAATCACGACACTTCCGGGCCAACACCTCCAGACGGACGCTGCTGTAGGCGTCTGCAGAGCAGCCGGACTCCGCGCGGAAGCGGTGCATGCTGGAACTCGTAGTCCTTATCGCTACCTCATCGCGTTGATTTAATAAATGCGCTTAAATAAAATTACCTGTTTGTGGAAATATTCTTGAAGTCAGACAACGTTCACAGTTAACACACATGGAAGTACAACCCCATTTAACGTTTATTTTCAGATTAACAATTTTTCTGGGAGTTTTTGTTTAGGGGACATTAAGTTTTACGTTAATGGTGGTGCAATGATTTGGAAAAGGGTAGCGAGAATGGGTGCACGTATTCAATGTCACTAAATTGTACTTATAGAAATTGAGGTGGCGTATATGTTACGTATATTTTCACCGTAATAAAAAATTTTAATTATAATTCAATTATGGGAGGCAATAATCAGAAGCAAATGCAGATGACATCCATGACTAACACGCTCCTTGTTAACTCTAGGTACAGCTGAGCAGGTTTTCTTCAGCTGCAAATTGCCCCCCATTAATACCCTGGACCAGAACTAGGTGTGTGTCTTACACTAAAAACAGTTGCTGGGAGTCGCCTCAGACTCACAGCAACCTCATGCGTGCCAGAATAGAACTGCTCCATTAGGTTTTCAATGGCCCACAAAGTGGAGTTAGTAAGACTCAAGTTCATGTTTAAGTACAGTTTAATCACATTTTTGAACGAGAATTTTACCATAAATTAGTAAAAGTTGAACATAAAGGAAATAGTTAAACATATATGTTAAACACGAAGTTATAAAAAAGCAAGAAACAAGTCTGAAACTTTATTACAGAAGATCAAACTCATTGGCCACTGAAAAAGAAATACAATTCCGGCTCACAGAAATGAAAGTAATTCTTTTATTGATAAACATTTTACCAGAATTAGAAATGTCAGTAGAAAAATAAAATTTAAATAATTTTCCTTTGTACAAAGATTTGATCATTTAGACTGCAGCAGTTAGTGAATCTAATCTAATACAAAAAATTAAGCTGATTTTAGTCACAATCAGCCTTACGAAGTGCACAAACAAGAAATGCTTGTACACAAAACTTTCTGCACGTGGATAACTAATGGCACCAGAGCTTCACATTCCAGGAAATTGTTCCTTAGGGAAGGCTGGTATGCACTGCAGTTGTAATAGAACTTAAATTAGAGCAGCCAGAAATGACACTGGAATCAAAAGCCAACATACAATTTAAAAACTTAAAAACATAAGGAAGGATTTAAAGGTAATTATATGCATGAACTTTTTCTCATTACTTGAAATATTTTGTAAGAACTAATATTTTTTGCAAAAAAATAAATAGCACACAGTGGAAGGCAGGTTGGAGACAGACAGACATCTTTGTCTTGGAATAATCATTACCCTTTTGTATAGGGATTTAAGTTTTCATGAAATGCTTTCACCACCTCAAAAGGAAAAGTGGAAGCACAGCTGGGGAGAGGTGTGGGTTTCATATAGCTCTCAGAAAGACTTTGGCAAAAATCCTCAAAAAACTACATACAGAAAGATAAAATGTTCAACACGAATGCCAATATTTTTCCATCTGAACAACCACTCCCAAATAATTGTGTGTATTTGAGATAAGAAATTAAAACAAATGAATAAAAACGAGGGAACAGACATTTTTTTTTGTTTGTCAAATACTTTCTCCCTGAAAACTTACTTCCAGCTATTGTAGCTCAATCTATGTCAATTCTACATACATTTATTCACAGGATAATGCTTCACACATTGGGATAGATGAAACATTCAATAATTTGAAGATACATTTTATATCTGAAGTTTCTTACAATAGTGGATAATCAAAATATGTGAAACAGGAAACAGACAGAAACAAAGATAACTTTCAAAATGTCTTAATTTTGAAATAAACAAACATTTTAATCACGGATTAACATGTTCAAAAACTAGTATTGGCGAGGTGGGGAGGCACCTACTAATGGCCCACATGTTTAAATAGTTTGTGAAGTGACAGCCAAAAGAATGTTTTAGGCAAGAATTCTAATAGGAGGCATCTTTCAACAGAGACTACCAAAATCATCTCCCAGAATAAAGGCTGTAACTTCCCCAAATTTCTTAAACTGAAAGGATACTTTTCAAAATGATAGCTCCTTGAACTGAAAAATGGAGTCTTGAACTAAAAATCTGCTTGAAAGGAAGATTTGAGCATCGGACAATAATCTTGTTGGGGAATATGTAAGGGCATTTGCCTGCAATCCAGCTCTACTTACTTCCACCTAACCTACACATACGTCAGTACAGTTGTGATACATAAATTGTTGACTGGAAAACCAATTTGCTCTGTAAACTTTCACCCAAACCACAACAAAATGTTCAAAAAATACATATAATTTTGATAAATGGTCTAATGGCCTAATTAGTCAAAAAAGAAAATGTCCGGTTAATTTCTGTGATCTGTAATTTTTCTCTATGACTTTCCCTAGTAAATGGTCCGCCTTGCCATTTTTAATCAGAAGCCAGAGTACAAAATGCTTTAAATGGAATAGATAAGTTCATGTGCAGGTGTCCTCATGGGTCATTAGCCTTACTCTCATAATAAAAACTTGCCTTTAGAAATGTCGGACTTTAAAAAAAAAAAAGTCAGACTTAATTACCAAAAAACTATTCTGAAAACAGATAACAACAACATTGATTGTATGTCACACAAAACAGTTTAGGTGGTAAGGATCAAGTTAGATACTTAATTTTTACAATCCTTTCCCTTTTGAAGGTCACAGTTTTTAGGCCTTTTAATGAAAATCAAAGTTAGGCAATAGAATAAAAGTCAAAATAGCTAAAATTGAGTTTAAAAACTGATATTTCTTTTGAAGGATACAAATTCTCCTGGAGGAAAATGTAAAGGATAGATTAGGGAATATCTGAAAATTAAACTGTAGACACTTTCTGGGAGTTGACACCCAATACTGCAAAAGTGGGCTGAAAAGCCTCCACTAGATAACCACATTAAGACCAAGAAATCAATAACCACTAACTCTAGTTTAAACTGCACTTCTATAATTTCTCAAGATTCATTAATAAACCAAAGTCACTAATAAAAACTTTTACAGAATGTTTAAAGTATCTTCTTATCTGTGCTCAATGCCCAAAGTACGTCCTAACAAATGTGGCTTAAAATTTTCAACTTAGGACAGTTAAACAGGGTATGTTTCCAATTAAACTAAAAAACTTAATAGAATAAAAGATAAGAAAAGGTGGTACAGGGATTCGGGGGGAGGAGGTCTCAATTAGCAAGCTTATTTTGATAATATGCACAAAACAAATTCATATCTCTTAAAATATGTTAAATAATCAGAGGTCAAGATGGCTATCCACAAAATGTTACACCATTCAATAATTATCTCTTTTTTCTTTAAACAGTAGAGCCAAAGCCACTATTTGTGTCACATTTAGATTTTTTTTTCTGTTACATGTAACCAAATTTGTTCTCAAAGTTATACTCAGCCAAAACCTACTTGGCACTTACTGTCATGAAAATGTAGCAAAAGAAGAATTTACCACATTTTAAACAAAACTAGATCAACTAAGATTTTAGTACAGTATGCCCTGCTTAAAAATAAACCAATATTGCTCATAGTTTCTCTGAACATGTAACATTGCATTTTCTCACAGAATATTATAAATTTCAGTGTAAGGGTTGCCAACCCAGGAGTCCTGTTGGCCTGGCTTGGGTAAAGGTATAAAGCTGCTTAAATTAAATATCTATAAAAAAGAAAAGTCAAGGAACATGTTTTCTTTTGGTTGAGAACAACAGGAATCTGAAAAGGTCTTCAATTCCCAGAGCTCTGAACTGAAGAAATGGCTGAGGCGTCATCCTTCATCTATCTGTTCATCCAACTTGCCTCCATTTGAAGAAATAAGAAAATATCACATTTCATAATATATTCTTTTTGAGGATTCTATATCTCAGGTTTATTTATTAAATTTTCTTGGCATCACAGCATAAGGACGTACGCTATAGGGTAGCTAAAATCCGTAAAAAGGAAACCACCACTACACAAAATGTCTGTCCAGTGCCCAAGGTGAGGGCTTCAAATGGTATCATTTCCTTTCCTGCTGCTCGGTAAACTCCAGCAATTGCTCCACCTGTTTAAATATTCAAGAATGTTTAAAAAAAAAAAAAATCAAGGTTAACATAATCAGGAAAATACACACTTAAAATTCTACCATAAATAGAATGGTCCAGATATTTAAAGTTCAAATATTATGGAAATGTTCTGTTTTCCCGCTTTCTACTAATTACTCTAAGTTGTAAGTACTCCTTATGGTTTGCAAATCACTGATATATGCTTTTAGGTGTTTAAAAGCAACTCCTTTAAACTGAGAGTCTTTCTAGATCTACTGAATAAAATCCTCAGGAAGTAATAAACAAAATCAGGAAGATAGCAATTCCCATATGACCTGATTACCAACTCAAAAATCTCTCTTTATTCCCCATGCCAATTAGCCCAGTGCCTAGCATTTAAAAGGTACCTAATAAATTTCTGGCAATAAATGACAAAGATCTTTAGTGTGATTAAATTAAATTACAGCAAATTTAAACATTAATCTAAAACATTTCTGGGCAAGAAGTGCTTCAGAAGTCCCAGGGAATCCCAGTTCCACCTTCTCCTATATTCAGAGTTCCCTTCAAAAAATGGATAGACAGGGGAGTAGATGGGTAGGAAGGGGAAGAGAAGGAGACTCTCAGGTAGGGCCTCTATACCTATAGAGTTGTGTCTAATTCAAGAGTGTGAGGGAAGAGATACTCAGGGATTCCTTTCTGCGTCCATGTCATTAATTGCTTTTATGATGTTACTCACTGTAACTTCCTAGAAATTAAGAAAACAAAACAAAAACATCTGTATCTATACACAGCTGAGTTGCTACAGGGACTTAACACTGCACCAAAAAAGCAAATGAAATCTTGGTTTAAAAAGAATAGACCCAAAGTTTCCCAGATGACCCCCACCCCAAAAATGCTCCAAACAAAATTCTTCTTGGTCACAGTGTGTTCATTCATTCAAGTAGTATTATTTACAGAACACTTCTATGTATCATAAGGTATGATCCCTATTCTCACAGGACTCAGAATCTAGTTGAGGACACAAGACAGAAGGCACAAGCATGAGACTGGTTTTGAACAATGCAATACAATACATAGTGTCTTAATCAAATATCTACACGTTACATGATATGAAGGTATATTAACATATTTTAACAAGAAGAAGGAACAATGTTAACCAATACCTGTTTTGGTTGCCTTGAACATTTGTAACTTTAAAATGTCCACCTCCAGTGGCGATGCATACAATGTGTTACTAACATCTGAAAGGCATATACCTTTTATTGGGCCCCTCTGTAATTTAGCTCCAAAAATAGTGGGCTGGGTAGAAAGACACTTAAGGAACTTGAACTGGGCCCTAAAGTAGGATTTGGATGATGAAGAAGGAAAGAAAAGAGCACACCAGAGGAAGCACCAAAATGGAAAGGAAATACTCTATTCAACAGAGCCTTAAAGTTGGAAATGAACATACCATTTATTACACTATTGTTATGCATTAGGTATTACGCTAAGTGCTATGTATATACATTATCTCATTTAATCATCACATAAGTGTATGCGGTGGTGTCATGGATTGAATTGTGCCCCCCAAAAATATCTGTCAACTTGACTAGGTCATGATTCCCAGTATTGTATATGATTGTGTAATCTGATGTGATCTCCTTATGTGTTGTAAACTCACTATGATGAGGTTATGCTGATGACATCTACAAGATTAGATAGTGTCTTAATCCAATCTCTTTTGAGATATAAAAGAGTGAAGCGAGCAGAGACACATGGGAACCTCATACCACCAAGAAAGCAGGGCCGGGAACAAAGTGTGTCCTTTGGACCTGAGGTTCCTATGCTGAGATGCTCCCAGACCAAGGAAAGACTGATGACAAGGACCTTCCTCCAGAGCCGACAGAGAGAGAGCCTTTTCCTGGAGTTGATGCCCTGAATTTGGACTTGTAGCCTACAGGACTGTGAGAGAATAAACTTCTCTTTGTTAAAGCCATCCACTTGTGGTATTTCTGTTAGAGCAGCACTAGATGACTAAGACAGGTGGGAACTGTTATCCCTATTTTAGATGAGAAAACTGAAGACAGCTCCTGGGAGCCAGGAAGGAGAATGGGGCAGAGGGTCCCTAAAGAGCGCAGTAGGTGATATAATTAAAAATATTACATAAGGCCATTTATGGAAACTCCTTAAGGTAGACAGGAGAAAACTGGCTCCCCTCCCTTGTTATCACAAAGGCTTCATCATCTGTAGAACACAGGGAAACTAGGCCGCTTTGTCTCAAAAACACTCAAGCCAAAGAAGCTGAGGGAGCGCTTTGCTGGAAGCTCACAGGGAAAAAAACTAAAATGAAAAATTAGTAGAACTATCATGTTTCTCTTTTTAAAAAATATATTTATGTTTATATATACCGAGAAAGCATATACACTAAAACGTAAACTGCGATTATAACTTAGGGAGGGATAATGGAAATTTTAAATTTTTGCTTATTTATAATTTTTCATTTCCATAAAATAAACAGGTTATTTATATTTAATTATGACCTTAAAAATAACTTAAACTTATTCTCATCCCTGTAACTGTGTCCTGTGACATGATCAAAATAAAAAAAACAAAAAAAAAGAAACCCAGGTTTAAACAATTTATATCAATGGAACTCCAATTCATCTTCAGAAAGTCCTGAGGAGAAAAAAAAAAAAAAAAAAACCAGAACATAAAACAGGTACTTTTCTAAACAAGAATTCTTGTCACTTGAATTATTCTCCCATCCTTGAAGTAACCATACCCACATAACTTAAAGTAATTCACCAACCATCTTGCCCACCAGTTAACTAAAGGCTGATAAGAAAGGAACAGTAGTTCCCTATAGGACAAATATTTTTCTTCTGCTAGTGACCTACTTATCTCACAAGACATATCTCACAAAGCTTAACATGACTCCCCTGAAGCCAATGAGAAAATATGACTCAGGAAGCCAAATAATGGGGTATTAGAGGTGATAAAAAAGCAACACATGAAAAACAGGGCCTGTGACTAAGTTACTCTTTTTCCTTCATCCTACTCAGACATGTTACTAAAATGGACCCTGAAATGAGCTTACTGGTCATATTAAACGTTTTGACTGGTATTTTAATGTCTAACATACTTGTCAAGATTCCAGCAGTAATTGGTCCCACGATGCCCATCAACAGGATGCTTACAGACATGAACCTACCATATTTGTGATGTCTGAGGGTGAAGAGGGCCAGCAGTCCAGTAGGGACATGAAAGAAGAGAGAGGAGACCAGTGCCCACAGGAACACACCATACCACATCTCTACAAGGAAAACAAGAAAGGACAATCTTTACAAAGGGGTACTCATCATACTCAGGCACTCCATTTTCAAAACTTTTAGTTTTGAAAATCCAATGTAGGTTCATCAGTCAAAGATCCAAATACAGGCAATTTTAAAGTAGGGGTCAGCAAACTATGGCCAGCAAGCTGCCATCTGTTTTAATAGATAAAGTTTTACCAGAACACAGCCATGCCCATTCATTCGTGTATAGTCTATGGCTGCCTGCGAGCTACAATGGCAGAACTGATAGCTGAGACAGACGACATGGCTCTTAAAGCCTAAAATATTTACTATCTGGCATTAACAGAAGAAGTGGGCTAACCTCTGACAAGCTACCTTTACCCCTAAGCACTGGAAAAAGGTTCATTTAAATTTGAAAATTGACCTAAAATAATTTCCATCCCATAAAAAGCACAAGCATAAGTAGTACCAAATGATGGTTCACCATGCAATGTCTGTTGATCTTTTTCATTACTCAGTCTTTTAAAATAGAAAAGCCATACAATTACATTCATTCAACAATCATTTTAAAGGCGATGCAAAAAATCTCAAGACGTTGCTTCCTATTAGGATAACAAAGTGCTTTAAGATGTGAAATAAATACCAGAAAATGTAAATATTTGGCTTAAAGACAAAAGTCAAGTAGGTAACAGGGTGGGTTAGAAGAGAAGCGCTGGTTCCTACGGAGAACCTCTAATCATTCTTAAGATGACAATCATTCAGGCAACGTTAAAATATTTGATCATCAACTATGCATAAAAAACTATACATGCAACACCTTGGAAAATACAAAAAGAAAAAAAAAGGAGAAACAGTCCACAAGGGACTTTGCAGCTTTGGTAAATGGCAGACACAGCATTCTCCCCCAGTGAGCCCAGGCAAGGCTTTAGACTCCTCAAGCTAGCTCTTCAGCTATTCATTATTGGTAGAATGGAGGTGGCACATTAGATAAAACCTGTTTTTCCAACCTTAGCTCAAGACAGGTAAGTCACAGGCAATTTTAGAAATAAGCTATCAGCTTGACGCAGGATTTCTCAACCACAGAACTACTGACGTTTGAGCCGGATAATGCTTTGTTGTTGGGGCTGTCCTGTGTATTGGAGGGTGTGGAGAAGCATCCCTGGCCTCTACCCACTAGATGCCAGTATCATGCCCCAGTTGTGACAACCAAAAATGTCTCCAGACATTGCCAAATGTCCTGGGGCGGGGGGGCAAAACTGCCCCTATTAAAAACACTGACTCAGCTGAAGCAGAGAGTTTATAAAAGAGTAATGGCAGTGAAAGCTAGAAAGATAGGTAGGGTCAGACATGGTGGGCTCTGAACATCAGGCTAAGGACTTTAACATGACAGCCCTAGAATTACCAGGAAAGTTTTTGATTACTAAAGGGTTGTCAGAACACTATTTCACAGGCCCCACCCAACACTCCCAATAAGAATACAAGCTAGAAAACCTTTTAAGAGGGTAATGTGGAAGCGTGTATCAAAAAAAGTTAAATGTGCATTCCCTTTGCCACAGTGATTTTACATCCAGGAATATATCCCACAAGAATACACACGCAGACAAGATCAGAAGTAACAAGAGGTTCCCGGCAGCATTGTCTGTTAATAGCCAAGACCAGAAACCAACTGCATGTCTATAGGACTTGTGAAACATGGTTTGGTGCATTCACATAATGGAACACTACATGATCACATAAAAATATGAGATACATCTATATATACTGGTGGGGTAAGATGCCTAAGTCATAATGGCAAGTGAAAAAAAGGCAAGTTGCAGAGTAGTATGTAGATTAAGATACCATTTTTATAAAAACCTATACAAACAAAAAAAAAAAAAGCACTCAGGAGCTTTTCTTGAACCTGAGTGTGTAGTGTAAGCATACTATGGTGTGAGTGGCTTTTTCCCAGATTAATTAAAATAATAGTTTCATAAAAAAATGTTTTTATTCAGTTTACATAGGCTTCTTATTCTTATTAGAGAGCTTCTGAGGGGCTGACAGAGATTAGGGGTGGGCATCAAATCCCCTCAAGCTACTGTTAACATTGTCACTGATGATCGTTCAAGTTCTCGGCTGATTTTGAGTCAAACAGAGCTTAATACCATATTCTGAAGATACCTAAATTAGGGCACCTAGGTCTTGTTTTGGATAAATGAATCTTCTTTTTTTTGGATCAATGGTTCTTAAGGAAAGGATCAAGGGGTGCCACTATCTAGGGCTCAATGCTTATTAATTATAACAAATGACTTGAGGGTATTCTGGTACTTTTGATCTGGTTAAAAAAAAAACTATCAGAGAACTGCAGAAGGTTTCAAACCATTTGTGGGAATTTTATTCTGCTGAACAAGATATATCTTCTGAATAATTTTATAATACTGTTGAAGCTGGTCTATTTTGTTTGATGGTATTTGGCAGATTCTGTAAAAGCAGGATTAAAATCACACAACATGGAGTATAAAGTGATTAAATCGCAATGTCCCAAGTTTAAAAAATTAAATCTACATACACACACTAACCAAATATTCAAATGCTGCCCTTTCCCTACCCCCACCAAGGAAGAAACCATCCCCTTTGTTACCAGTCAATATCGCCAGCATCCTCCGCGTTTAAGTTCTCCACCTCTTCAGGAACTACTACAGCCTCCTTTCTAGCCACCATTGGGCCCAGAGGTATTCCTGCCTTCACTGCCCAAGTGGCAGCAGCTCCAGAGGCTGCAGTGTCTGGTGTCCAGGTATGGCTTCTCCGCAATAAATGGGCACCCACCAGACCCTGGTGCTGCTTCTCCAAGGCAGCTAGCTCCAGCGTCCACAAATCCCTGCTGCGTGGGCAGCCACTGTTGCACCCTGGCTCAGTCAGAACAGCCTATAGCACCTTGTACACCACCCAGTTCCAGCTCATCCCAAAGTCACGGCACAGTACTACGTAATTCCCTTCTAAAACAGAAACACACCAGCTTCAGTCCCTTGGTCTGCACTAAAAAAATAAAAACAGAAAAAAAACTGTTGCTGTCATGTTGATTCCAACTCACAGCGACCGTATAGGACAGGGTAGAACTGCCCCATAGGGTTTTCAAGGAGAGGCTGGTGGATTCGAACTGCCGACCTTTTGGTTAGCAGCCGAGCTCTTTATCACTGCTCCACCAGGGCTCCAGCTACTCCCAAAATCACTCCGAGACTCTGACCACTTTACCATCCAGTCTGCAGAAAGTTCTATGAGGATACTGGGCATGCCACTGCCCCAGGATAGACAAATGGGATGCAAACCTGCCTCCAGGAACTCAGAGCAGTTGCTATCCTGGCCATCGTCTGCCACCACCAATCTGAGACCAACTCGGGGCCCCTGCTGGAGCCTAGCTTCCTAGTGGCTGCCACAAAACCATCGGGGCAGTGACACAGGGAGGCTAGGCCTGCAACTGATGAGACAAACTAAGATGGTGCCTGTCTTAGTCATCTCGTGCTGCTGTAACAGAAATACCACAAGTGGATGGCTTTTAACAAAGAAAAATTTATTCTCTCACAGTCTAGTAGGCTACAAGTCCAAATTCAGGGCATCAGCTTCAGGGGAAGGCTTTCTCCCTCTGTCGGCTCTGGAGGAAGGTCCTTGTGATGCATCAGTCTTTCCCTGGTCTGGGAGCATCTCAGCACAGGAACCTCCGGTCCAAAGGACGTGCTCTGCTCCAGTACTGCTTTCTTGGTGGTATGAGGTCCCCATGTCTCTCCGCTTGCTTCTCTCTTTTATATCTCAAAAGAGATTGGCTTAAGACACTATCTAATCTTGTACATTTCATCAGTGTAACTGCTGCTAACCCATCTTATTATATCACAGTGATAGGATTTACAACACATAGGGAAACCACCTCAGATTACAAAACGGTAGACAATCATACAATACCGAGAAATCATGACCTAGCCAAGTTGACAGATATTTTGGGGGGATACAATTCAATCTATGACAGTACTTTCCATAAAAGTAGAGTCTAGATACTAAAGTGTTTTACTCTGACACTCACCCAGTTCCCAATTCCCCTGGAGCACAGTACCCGCCCAAGGATGCCTACCAGCCCAAATCTTGATCTTTCTGAAAGCTCAAAGGTCTATTTGCAAACAGGATCTGACACAGCAGGCCAGCACTCCTTGAGTCTCTCAGAAGGGAAGGCACTCAGCACCCTCCTGCAATCCTAAACCATATCCATTAGCTACTTCAGTGCTTACATATTTTATATAGCATCATTTAAGTCACTTCAACTAGGAAATAAAGGCTTTATTTTATTAGATGAGTAGCACAGTTTATAAAAACACTCAGATTGATGGGATTATTACAAGACTCTAAGAGCAAAGGCAAACCTCGATCAATAAACACTTTAAAAAAGTAAGTGATTTCCCTTTAATCTACTGCACCTTAATTTGTCATCTATTTAATAGCTATTTATCGATCATCATACAGTACTTTTCATTTCCCTGGCTCAACACAATATATAGAAACATCTTTTCTACATATCTTAAGTATTTTCTTGTTCATTGCTTCAAATCAACTGCATTATCTTCAGCTTTGTTTCCTTTGGCAACTAAAGTCACATCACTGCCCTACGCTGGAGTATAAATTGGACAATTAGTCAGTAATAAAAAAGTACAAAGGAAAAATTAGATTAAACACTGTGGAAGGCAGATACACATCCTAATCCCTGAAATCTGTGAATGTTTCCTTACATAGCAGAAGGAATTTTGCAGAGGTGATTAAATTTAAGGATCTTGAGATAGGTAGATTATCCTGGATTATCCAAATGGGCCCAATATAATCACAAGGTTCCTTATAAGGGGGAAGAAGGAGGGTCAAAGCAAGAGAGATTTAAAGATGCTACACTGCTGGCTTTGAAGATGGAAGAAGGGGCCACAGGCCAAAGAATGCAGGTGGCCTCTAGAAGCTGGAAAAGGCAAAGAAGCAGATCCATCCCCAGGGCTTTCAGAAGGAACACAGCCTCACT